TTGAGGCGCGGACCGTCCGTCACCAACAGCGGGCTGGGAGCCCGACAGCTTCTTTGAGACTTACGTCCGCGACTTGATGGACTTCAATTTTCTCGTCGACTGCTCGCTGGGCGCGAGGTTTGGAGACGGGGTCCACTTCGCGCGGAGGTAGTCCGCGCGGCGGCTTGCCGCGTGCCGAGTTTTGGCTACCATCGCTTACGCGGCGTACTACTTGATGCGATGTTGAATCCGCTCGGCGAAGCGGAGATGCGGCGCGAGATGGGGGCCGGCATAGTCGAGTTACCGCTGAACGAGGCAACGCAGATAATAGAGGCCAAGCTCGCGCTGGAGCAGCTGCTCTCCCAGCGGTTACTCGACTGCAGGATCGGCTGGGTCGCCTCTGTGCGCTCGCTCAGCTGAGTGCTGTCTGGCGACTTTCGTCGCGGTCGTGCTGATTCTGCGTCCTCGCATGCTCGAGATGCTTTCAACCGCGTCGCAATGGCGCAGGAGTGGGTGGCTTGGGACGCCGAGACCGGGCATTGCCTCGCGGGGTATTCCTATGCGTTCCAGCGGGTAGAGCGCGACACCTTGAGGCAGTTCTCCTCAACGCCGCCCAGCTGGCACGAGATGAAGATTTCACCGTGCTGGGCGACGTCAATCCGCGGCGCATGTATTGCAGCCCAGGGCAGGGCCCGCACCGATCGGCCTGACCTGAGCAGCGTGCTGTTCGGGCCGCTGGGGACTGACCGGAAGGCAGATGAGTGGGTGGACCAAGCCGTGATGGAGGACGACTTGACGATCCGCCCTACCCGGCGCGCTGCATTAGAATTATTCGGCTTTCTGGGCCCTGCGATGCTGGCCCGGCCCTGCAACGCGCTGCTGAGGCGGCGGTTCTGTTCGGCCTGGCCCTGGTCATGCTCGCGCGGCACCTCTTGAAGATAGAGGGGGGGCGAGAACCGAGAGCTGCTTCCAGTGGGTGCGCTATGTGATGCTCTCGCTCCCCGTGCCTAGACGCGCGGGCCGAGGCCGTCGGGTCGTGGTGGGCCTGACAGGCAAGCGGAGTTTGTCGGTTTCGCCACTTGGCTCCGCAGCTCCAAGGGCGCCAGCCCGAGAATGGGCGAACGGGCGCTCAGTGCGGCTGGGGACCGCGAGGACTACACTTGCACGCAGTCATGGACCAGGTCAGACAACTTCCGCGCCGCATGCTCCCACGTTGAGCAGTATTAGGGCATTGGAGCTGGCGATGGCGCAGGCCGCCGATGGAGTGGGCAGACCAACGGGGAGCTGCTGGCTCACTTGGGGCGGAACGTGGCCCTGGAGTCGAGTGGCGCCGAGGCCAGACAGGTTCTGTCGGAGATGGCTGCGGAGCTGTCCGACCTCGTGGGCCGCGCGCTGGCCCAGCCCCGTTGCCGCGGGCCGGCGCTGTCGCGCCCGCTGCTCGAGCGGCGCCTGGGTGCCGCTATCTGGGTTGCAGGCGACTCCGCGTGCGTCCGCTGAGACCGCGCCCTCATGTCCGCGAAGGGCGATGCAACTCTCGGGAATGCCGCCCTACAGCTGGCGCGAATGGGATCGCCCTTGGAGATTATGCGCGAGGTGCTCGCCATCGATCCTTTGGGCTGGTGGGTGGAGGGAGATGACAGTGCTGCCCACTCTGCTGAACCTCTAGCTGCGCAGATCAAACCCCAGATGGGCGCGCGCGCTGGGCGCGCGATGAGTTTGCCCGAGTCCTTGCCCAGGCAGGGGTCGGGGAGACAGAGCGGATTGTGACCGATGGACAGCGTGGCAGGCGCCCGCTTCGCCGCGCGATAGGTAACGTGCCTGCGAGGAGCCCGCAAATTTCGGATCTCCTCGCGGCGGAGCAGGAGCTGGGCCTGGTTGCGAAGCAGTTGCGCCCGCGCACCCGCGGCAGGGGGCTGCGAACTGGCGGTCGTCATCGCGTCGCGCTTCGCCGAGGAGCGAGTCGACTGAGCGGGCGCGAACTTGCGGGGCGTCGAGCCGCTCAAGGTGCGCCGGGAACGACGACGCGAGGCGACGAAGGGTGCCGCGGTCAATTAGTTCAAGCAAGCAGCGGCGCCCCGACAAGGTGCCCGTCCTGCTGGATTTCGCGCGGCACCTCGTCGCCGAGCACCTGGCGCGCTCGGAATTAGCGTTTCGCGGCACGCGTGACGGTTTTGACTTCGGACCAGATCCGCTCGAGCCGCTGCTGGGCGCCGCGCGCTCGAGCTGCGTGCCGGAGACTGCGGAGCTGCTGGACGTCGGCCGGATCATGTGCCGGGCTGGCAGGGCCGCGAGCTCATCTGCGTGCAGGTTGGTACTGCTCGCCTTGGCCGACCCAGGCATCAAGGGCATCTTGGCGCGCCAGGAGGCGGCGAACGCCTTGACGGACACACGCTGCTTCGCCATCATGACGGCAGGTTGCGCCTTTGATGAGCTGCCGCATCCAGGGTTGCCAGACGAGGTGGCTGCGATGCTACAGGAGGCCGCTCGCGTGGCGGCGTTCGCCGTGGCGCTGGACAAGCTGGCGTACACCTGTGATCGCATGGATTATCGTCGGTTCGCGTGGCTGGTCAACGAATACATGCTCAGGGCGTTCAGGGCGTTCTGGACCAGTGGGGCGCGCGCGCTTCAGCGGGCACTAGGTGCACGCACGCAGCAGCAAGCTAGACCAGTTTGCCTGCGTAACCTACACACAGCGTAGGTGACGCGCTGAAGCCAGTTCCCGGGGATAGCTGCATGAAAAAAAGGCTCGGCACGCATGAGCACGTGGAGCCACATGAGTGGGTCGCGTGAAACGTATGCTTGTTTCTGGTGCGGTGGCGGAGCTCGTTTTGCAGGTCGGCGCAGAGGAGTCCTATTTTTACATTTAAAAGAAAGGACAGATGTTGATGGATGTTTCCAGCAAGCCAGCGTGCAAAATAAACCCCGCCAACACGCCAGAATCACGTGGACGTTCCGTAAAGTAACATGAGTGATTCCACGTGGTCGCGCGTGTCGGTGTACTTTTGCCTCTGGTGTGCTGGTGGTGTGCACGGAGGGTGCCTGCTGTGTGGCTCTGGGGAAACACCGTGGCACGGCTACCCTTGACGTTGCGCGGATTTCTTGGATCGGCGCCTGGGCCCCCCTGCTGCTGCGCCTCTGGCGCCGCCCTTGGCTCCGCGCGCCAGGGAGGGGGGTCCAGCGCAGATCGAAGAAATCCGCGCGGAACGCCAACAGTTTATGTATATAGTTATTTATTTTTCGATTGAGCACGAGGAGCGCTTTCGCTACGCATTCTTTTACGATTCCCACTGTGCAGGCCGATCAGACATGTCTCGTGTGTTGGCTGTCGGATTTGCATAGTCGTCCAAACGTGGGAATGTTTTCGTTTCAAATGCGATGCAATTGTATTCCGTGCTAGCGGTGGCCATCTCGGCACAAATCCTAACATAGGGTCCAGGTGTTTTCGTGTTCATTTGATTGCGCCCGTTTTGCGCCATAGTCATTCGAAAGTCAGCCGTTGCTCATTTGACTTGTTTCCAAGCTGTGGAACACTCACGCACGGTGGGTTTTTCAATCGTTATTCGTCCCTTCCTGGCGGAGCGAATTAAAAAAGAACACGTATGTATCGAATGGCCTTCGGCACATCCCGCCAGCGTGCTTGGGTTGCAGGTCAGGGTTCTGAGGGATACATCGTGGAGTCTCTTCGGAGCGCACTCGGGGGCCTCCTGGGGATAGTTTTCGGGCCTCTTTGGGGTCCTCTTGTGGTCCTCCTTGGGGCCTCTTGGGAGCCTCTTGGGGGCTCCTCGGGGCCGAGGGCTCGAAATGTCCGTTCGGGTCCCCCGTCTGGGCCCTGTTGGGCAGTCTTGGGCGCCTCCCGGGCCGCCTTTGGGGCCTCGTGGGCCGTTTTGGGGCCCTCTTGGAGACCTCTTGGGTTGTCTTGGCGCCGTCCTGGGGCGATCTTGGGGGCCTCTAGGGCCGTCTAGGAGCTTTGGGAAGCCGAAAAGGCGAAAACGCCCCTAACCTTCAAACACTTGAGAACAATCAATGATGTTGGCTTCTTGGTCTTGGAAGGCGTATTGGAGGCCTCTTGGGGCGTCTTGGAGGTCTCTTGGACCGTCTGGAGGCCATCTTGAGCGTCTTAGAGCGATCGTTCGGCGATTCGGGGCCCTCTTGGACCGTCTTGAGGGCCTTCTTGGCCCGTCTTGGCGCACTCTTTGGCCCGACACGGTCACGCGACAAGCCCCCAGAAGACGCGGGAAGGCCCAGGAGATTTGTGAATTTGGGCTCGGGGCCCTTTCCAGACTCCTCACGAGTCCTTAAGGGGTTAAGCAAAGGACCTGAGGACGCCCACTCCGAGCCCAGGTTGTTATTCGTTCCGTTCTGACAGAGCGAAACATAAGCATGATCTATTTTTATATATATATATCTGTATATGTATACACATGTATATGTATATGTATGTATATGTATATGTATATGTATATGTATATGTATATGTATATGTATATGTATATGTATATGTATATGTATATGTATATGTATATGTATATGCATATGCATATGCATATGTATATGTATATGTATATATATATGTATATGTATATGTATATGTATATGTATATGTGTATGCATACATACATATGTATACATACACACGTATACACACATACACACATATAGATATATCCCGTTAGTTCCAGACTTGGTCAGGGTACACTTTCACCTCGCCCTTCTTCGTCCACCTCACTTTCCTCCATTTCTCTGAACATATCGTAGATCCCCTACGACGGATCCAGGCCCTCTGCGAGTAGCCACCCTGCGAGCAGAGAAACGCCCCCGTCTGGTATGGGCATCTCTTTGTTTCCCCCCACCGCTTGCGGCGTGCAGAGGGGAGCGGCGGATCGTGGGCAGGACGCGCACATCCGTGCCCCACGTCCATGCGGCTTGCATCCCTCAGCCGCCCCCCCCTCCCCGGGCCCCTCCCCCCGGGGGCCCCCTCGCGACGCCTCGCGGGCCCCCAATCGCATGGCCCCGCTGCCCCCCCCCCCCTGTCGATGCCGAGAGAGGGAGACACATCGCTACGGAGGCGGGGCGTCTCTGCCCAGGCTGCCCCGAGCGGGGCGCGCCCCGTGCGACCGCGTGCCCACGGGAGCTCGGCCCGGAGCCCAGGCCGCGAGGGCGTGGGTGCGGACCTGCTCGCCACTCGTCCACGGGGTCGAGGGCAGCCGGCCGGGTGCCGCGCGGCCCGTGCGAGAGCTGCGCCTGCCGCGTGGCCCTGGCGCCTCCCCGCCTCGCTCCGCTGTGTTCGGGCCTCGAGGTTTTCGTCGCTTCTCGGCGGCGTTCCAGCCTCGGGGTGCCTTGTTCGGACGGGGCTAGGACGAGGACAAATCCGAAAGTAGCGCGCCCCTCCCCTCCTCCTGTTGCCTTTTCCAGCTGGAGGGCCCAGTTGTACAGCTGGCGCCCGCCGCGCCGCTCGCGATCGGCCCGCCGCGGCGGCCGCGGCGACCCAGCGCGCAGCTGCGCGATCGCCCCGCCGCCGGAGTGCGCCGATGAGCGCCGCGGCGGTCGGCGCGCCGGCGGCCGCGGCCAGCGGCCCGCAGGCGGCGGAGCTGGCGGCGCTGTCGGAGCTGGACGCGCTGTGCGAGGCGCTGCTGCAGCGGCTGCTGCCCGCGCTGCGGCAGGTGGTCGAGGCCGCGGCCGAGCAGGCGGCGGGCCGCGCCCTGGAGGCCAGGGGTGGACCTGCACGGTGTTCTGGCGACCTCGCAGGCCCTGCTCGTTTCGGCTTCGCGCCGCGGTGCAGGCGGAGCGAAGGCGAAACGAGGGGCCCCGAGCACAGAACGAGGGCTGAGGTCGAGCCCTGCTGGAGGCCTTCCGGCATGCCCCCGGCGGCGCCGGCGCCGGCGCCCCGGGGGCCACGGCGCTGGGCGCGCTGCAGCCCGGGCAGGCGGTGACCGTGGACTGGACCTTCACCAACGCCAGCGCCGACGCGTGGGCCGCGGGGGCTCACCTGCGCTTCCTCGGGGGCCAGCTGGCGCCGCCGCCGGGGTACCGGCCCGCGGGCGCGCAGGCCCCGACGCCGGCGGGCGGGAGGCTGTCCGTGCAGGCGCCCATGGCGAAGAAGGAAAACGGCAGAAACATGAACTAACGGCGCTCCGCGCGGATTTCTTGGATCCGCGTTGGGCCCCCCCCCCCCGGCGGCGCCTGCGGCGCCGCCCCTGGCGCGGGATCCAGCGCGGATCCAAGAGATCCGCGCGGAGCGCTAAAAGTTTATGTTCATGGCGTTCTTTTTTCTTCCAACCATGGTCGCCCCGATGGAGCCTGGCCCGAGCGACGGGCAGTGGCAGCTGGAGTCGGCGGCCGTCCGAGGAGGAACAAATGTACCAATACCGCTGCGCGTGCCTCGTTTCTGCCTCTTTGGGGTCTCCCGGGAAGCTCTCTCGTCGCAACGGCCGGCTTCGCCGCGCGATGCTTGTCAGAGCGCATCCCGGGAGAGGTCCAGGGAGTGGCGGTGTCGGGTGCTTTTGCCGGGAAAGGGAACATTTGCATTACCAGTAGCGGGCTGTTTTTCAATCCCAGGGCTTTTTGAGGGTCGGAGACGACGTCGGGGTGGCGTGGTGTATACTGTTTCCCCCGTTCTCCGGTGGAAATAATTACCGAGACATGTGTACACCAGGATCCCGTATACACCAGGATCCGTTTTTCTGTGCGTATTCCAGCGCGGGGCCAGAAACAGCGCCGGTGTATAGATTTCGCTTCCCTATATGATCATTTTCTTTTTCATTGTTTTGCCGATTGGCGCGGGCCCTCGCACCCCCCATATGCAGTTGATCCTGTTTGTTCTTGGTGCCTGTTTCGAGCAGGTAAAAGCCTCCTCCCCAGGACGCACTGCTGCAAACAGCGGCGTTCAGCAGAGGTCTGGAGCCAGACCCCCCCTCCCCACGCATTCTCTTATCTTCTTCCTCCTCCTCCTCCTCCTCCTCCTCCTCCTCTTCATCCTCCTCCTCATCCTCCTCATCCTCCTCATCCGGGCACATGTGCCACTGGGATTCCTCCCCAGGAAAACAGGCGGGTAACTTCCCGTTCGTCACCCCAGGTGCTCCTTCGGGAGCCTGGGGGAGGAAAAAAAGTAGTCGTAGGCCGTCCCAGCCTGCGCCACGGGGGGGGGGGTCGCGCCCGGGGTCTCGGGGCTGTGCCCGATTCGTCCTTGTGGCGGGCGGGGGCAGTCCAGGGCTTCGGTGCGCGGCTTTTCCTTCCGTTTTCCGTGCCTGGGTTGTGGGTCTGCCACGATTTGTTGCGAGACGTTTGCGTGGCCTTCCCAGTACTCCGCTGGGGCAAGGGTGGTGTCGTGGGTCCCCTATGCGGGGGGGGCTCATCGGAGGATCCCCGTCCATTCTTCCCGCGGTCACGGTCCCCCGCTGTGGCGTGCGTGGGGGTGGGCTGTCCCCGAGGGGGTGGTGCCTCTCGGGTGGCTGATCGGGGCGGCACGCGCGGCGTGTCGTTATCTGAGGCCTCGAAGTGTCAGAACGGGCCTGTAGAGCGGTTTACCGGCTTGGCTGCTGCCTCCGGGCTGCTGCCCCCTGGCGCGCGTGTCGGGTGCGTCTCTCGCTTTTTTCGCGCGTCTGCCGCGCTTCGCGGCGCTGCTGCCTTTAGTGGCGCGCGTCGCCTTTTCGCGCGCTTCGCCGCGGGAAGTCTCCTATGCGAGCTCGCGCCGACTCCGGCCGTGATAGTCCTCGCCGTTGGCCTAGGGCGGCGGGGGCATTGACTCGTCCGCTTCTGGGTCACCTTGTCCACCTCATCCCCCAGCGCCGGCTCGCTTCGAGCCCGTGGCGCGCCTCCGAGCCCGCGCCGCGGGGCCCCTGAGCCCCGATCCTCCGCGTCTTCTTCTCGGCGGCTGCGTGCTGTCGGGCGCTGTTGCCGGAGGCGGGCCGCTGCGCAGGCGGCGCCCCAACCGCTCGGCGGCCGAGCGGCGGGCGCAATGCGCCCGCGCACATGGCCGCGCCGCCGTGCACTTCGCCGACTGCCTCTGCGCCATCGAGGTGCACCGCGGCCAGCGACTGCCGCTCCTCGGGCGCGCCCTCCTCGATGCGCTGACGGGCATGTCCGCGGGCGACGAGCTCGCGAAGCTCCAGCGCCTCGCCGCCGCGGCCGCTGCGGAGGCGGCGCGGGCTCCCGAGGCCCCCGACGGCCCCGACGACGAGGAGGCGGGACAGCGTAGAGATGGCGGTGACGTCCGAGGCGTCGGGGCGGGGGGGCGGCGACACGGCGGCGGAGGCGAGGAGGGTCCGCGTGCGCGCGACCCCGCGTCCGGCCGCGCGGCCGAAGCCGCCGTGCGAGCCCTCGCAGAGGGCCCATGCCGAGGTGCTGCACGGGCATCAGTCCCTGGCGTCCGCCATGGCCGCGCTCCGCGCCGCCGAGTCGGCGCCGGCTGGCGCAGGGCTGCCCGGTCTTCGTGGAATTTGACGGGCAGTTCCTGGACGCGCTGGGTCTTGGCATCGCTCGGACGTGTGCGTTTTTTCCTCGGCGAGGACCATCGAGGAGCATCCTTGACCATTTGCCGAAAAAACCACGCACTAAACCGAAACCGAAAAATAACACAGGGAATGGACGTCCGAGCGATGGCGAGAGGTGCTGCTGGAGGCGGCGACGGTGCGCACCCGGGCCAGCGGGCTGGGTTGCCGCCCGCCTCTTTGCTTCCTGGAGCTGTTCACGGCGTGGAGACCGCGGCCTGGTCCAGGGGAGGGATCGCCTCCTTCGGAGGGTCAGTCCCGCTGAGAGCTCCTACAGTAGGGGTCTTGAAGAAGGACCCTTTTCGTTTGGGAGGGGCTCCGTGTTCCTTAGTTGTTTTACAGTGCTCCTTGGGTTTTCCTGAGGTCTTCCATGGAAAATCGGAATTTAACCTATGGGAAAAAGGGGCCTCGTTCCTTATTTATCGTTCATTAGGTCAACGCCCCGACCGCACTGGGGAGCAGGGTGAGTGCGCTCCGGCGGGAGGTCAGCACCCCGTCCCCCCAACCCGCCAGGGAGAGCTCCTAAAGGGGATCGTCTGGCCGCGCGGGGCGCCAGCCTTTAGTTCCCCTCGCCGTGCTCCTCGACCAGTTTTTGGTGCTGTTCTCGAGTGCGGCTTCCTTGTCGACTCCTCGCTGAAGGAGCCGATCCGTTCTGTGGAGGGCTGGGGAAGGAGGTTCACGGGCTTGCGCCGCTGCGCGTGCCGACTCGCCTCTTCCTGGGCGACTTTGACTCTTACTCCTCCTTATCCCCCTTCCTCCTCTTCCTCCTCCTCCTGTCCCTCCTGCTCCTCCTGCTCCTTCTCCTCCTCCTCCTCCGCCTCCTCCGCCTCCTCCTCCTCCTCCTCCTCCTCCTCATCATCATCATCAACATCATCATCATCATCACCGTCACCGTCACCGTCATCATCATCGTCATCATCATCATCGTCATCATCACCATCATCATCATCATCATCATCATCATCATCATCATCATCATCATCATCATCATCATCATCATCATCATCATCATCATCATCATCATCATGATCATCATCATCATCATCATCATCGTCATCATCATCATCATCATCATCATCATCATCATCATCATCATCATCATCATCATCATCATCATCATCATCATCATCATCATCATCATCATCCCCCTTCCTCCTCCTTTTCCGACATATCTCAAAACGACGATAAAAAAAAACGTTCCTTATTTGGGCTCCCCCAGGCCGGAGCCCCGCTGTCGCCCCCGCTGGTGGTGGCCGCCACTACCCTGGCGCCCGCGGTGGGCTCGCGGGCCGTGCCCGCGGCGGCGGGGCACGGCGCCAGCGTGGGGGGGGCAGTCCCTGCCGCGCCGAGCTTCGGCGGCGCCAGCCCCAGGATCGGCGCCGGGGCCCCCGCCCCAACGCCCCAGAGGCGAAGAGGAGGAGGAGGCGGAGGAGGCGGAGGAGGAGGAGGCGGAGGAGGCGGAGGAGGAGGAGGAAGAAGAGGAGGAGGCGGAGGAGGAGGATGAGGAGGAGGCGGAGGAGAGGAGGAGGCGGAGGAGGAGGAGGAGGAGGGAGGAGGAGGAGGAGGAGAGGAGGAGGGAGGAGGAGGAGGAGGGCGGAGGAGGAGGCGGAGCGGAGGAGGAGAGGAGGAGGAGGAGGAGGAGGAGGCGGAGGCAGAGGCAGGGGAGGAGGGAAAGCAGGAGGAGGACGAGGACGACGAGGAGGCGGATGCAGAGGCGGAGGCGGAGGAGGAGGAGAAGGAGGAGGAGGAGGAGGAGGAGGAGGGTCATGCGGGATCATGCATCCGACGGCTCCCGATGATTTATGACCCAGCGGGAACCAGTGCGCTCGTGCAGCCCGCTCGTGGCCATCTGTGCAGTGCGTGCGAGCTGTGTAGTGGCTGTTGTCCCACCACTGCGCGTGAGCTCATCGTGGACGACCTAGCCTGGGCCATCGCGCTGGTGCACCATCTACATTCTCGTGTTCTGAAGACGCCACTGAAAGCACACGAACATACACACGCAGACACACACACACAGCTATCGGCAGCGACTGCTGCAACATACCATCCCGCCCTCATTCGGACTCCTGTAGTGCACGTCCATATTGTGCTAGATTCTAGCGCGTACCCTCTCCGCCAAATCCTTGCAAAAGGAGCAGGACTTGTTGTATGCTTTGTCATTGTCCTAGCGTTCAAGTTTTTCAGTGCACATGTTTTACATGTGTGCAAAGGCCCGTCAGTGTCGTGACAATGCCAGCACATATGTATGCTGTTGCAGTTCATTACCAAGTGACAATGCCAGCACATATGTATGCTGTCGCAGTTCATTACCAAGTGACAATGCCAGCACATATGTATGCTGTGCAGAAGACATTTGGCACTATGCAGTCCACTACCAAGAGACAACCAACACACACACACATTCAAGTTCTCCAGTGACAACCTATTATTGCTTGGGTGGCACAGATATCTCAACACGTGCAACAACGAGATCTTCGTACACTGCGACTGCAAGCAGTGCCTACCGCGTCCACCACTACAACCCGACCCCCAAGCTACACCACTGACCATTTATACATTCCCTGCTGCGACTTGCACGAGGCTGATCAAGCTCAAGGGCGCCGTCAGAGCGGACTCAAGCCAACCGCTGCGCGCGCCGCCCAAGCAGCCGAACTTCTCACGATGCGGCAACGACTTGCAAACATTCGCGGCGCAATATCTCGACAGCTTAACATTCAGAGTACAAGTAGTCCAGACGCGCGCCCACGTCGCCACGCTGATCGCGGGAGGACAAGCACCACTCAGCAATGCCAAGATGAAAACCATGCAAGAAGTAGCACAGTGGCTCAACGCTTGCCGCGACGACCACGACAGGAAGCACAACTGGGCACTGCGACTAAGCGACGCAGCACTCCTACTGCAACGCATCTGCAAAACACGAGATCCAAGGCCGCAACCTACCAGCAAACGCGGCGACGCCAGCAAATACCAACCAAGCCACCACCACCATCAGCTCAGCCCATGCTCAAACCACTCGCACCCACTCCACCACCATCGTGGACCGCTAACAGCAAACCGACCAGCCCAACAAACACAGCAGACGACGCGCACAACCCGGCAACGGACCGCCAGACGACGCAGCAGCCACAGCCACCGAAAGCGCCCGCGCCACCATCGACCACGCAGCAAGACAGCACTCCACACGCGCAATAAATCATAACGCGCTACCAGGCAGGCCCATGCCAAAGGTACGCAGTAACACAACGACCACTGCAAGCACGACCGCGCCACGCCAGCGACCGTGCAAACCACCGCCTGCGCACCTATCCAACAACCGCCGGACACGCCTAACACTAGCAATCCAACAGCAGCGGCAACTGCACCTGCACCCGCAAACACCTCAATGATCAAATGATCACCGTCGTACATGCGCCCGCCGCCGCGCCCTCCGCCGCCCGCGCTCGCGATGCCGATCGTATGCCCGCCTGAAGAGGACATCGACGCACAGCAATGGATGCAAGCCATCCCGCGGCGGCAGCTAGCACCGCAGACACCGGTGCGCGGCGAGCATGCTTCCCGACGCAAGCACGCGAGCAATTGCAGCGCATCAAGAAGCAGCTCGACGCGGGGAACAACATATGCGCATCTTCGATCGACGTGCCATTTTCGTCAACCAGGCTGGCGACCCCACGCCCCAGAGCTGCATCGACAGACTACGCGGACACCAGCTCGCTACGAGACAGACCTCAATAGCCTCCACGATAGCTATGACGATGTTGATGACGATGGAGTTTGTGACTGCTATGCTCATGATGATGTGATGCATGCTGTTACCGCTGACAATGGTGGTCGCGGTGGTGGCGATGGTGAATGCGATGACGAGGAGGAAGAACAGAGGGAAAACAATGAGGAGGAGGAGGAGGAGGAGGAGGAGGAGGAGGAGGGCGACGACAAGCAGGAACCGAGCGCTAGCCCGAGGATGGCCGCCAGGGTCATCGACGGCTCCGCCGCTGCCGGGCTGCTCGCGGGATCTGCGGCGCCCAGCGCTTCCACGAGGCGTAGAGGGGCAGCGGGACCCAAGAGATCCATTGAGGGTCTCGAGTCGATCGGGGATCGATCGATCTGTGACCCCTCCCTCCCTCCCTCCCATCCTCCGAAGCGGCAGCGCTTGCAGCGAGAGGCTGCGGCGTTCGCCGTAGGCGGCAGGGGAGGGACAGGCAAACGTCCCATCCTTGATTGCTTCCATTTCTTTCCTAGGGGCCCGATGCGATGCAAGCGATTCGGACATGGCCCCCAACGGCTCCACCACCACCACCTCCTCCTTCTGCTGCTCTTCCTCCTCCTCCTCCTCTTCCTCCTCCTCCCTCTCCCTCTCCGCCTGTGCGGTTTTCAGAACGGGAAGCAATGAGCGAGAGGATAGCGGCCGCACGGCGTTTTTGTCTGCCGCCGTCCTTGCTCAAGCTGGCACCTCTCAGGCCTCGGGAGAGGACCGACCTATGCAAGCGGCGGCCCGCGCGGTTTTTGCGGAGCTGGCCCGGGGCCTGTCGACGGGGTTGGTTCCGCGTGCCTCCACTGCGCCCTGCCCGCCCTGCAGTTGTTCGCCTGAGCTGCACTGCCCCGCGTGCCCCATACTGCCACCTGGAGTGCGGCCCGGGCAGCGTGGTCAGTGCCCCGCGCCAGGCATCTTTCCACGTCTTCGTGCTCACACACATTTGCTGGTGGCCATCGTGTGCTGCCTTCTGGGCGTGCTGGGTGGCGCCCTCGGGTGCCCGGGGCTGCCGGGCGTGCTGCGGACGCCGAGCCACACCTCCCGCGCGAGGGTGGGGGGGAGCCCGCGCGCCGCGGGGCAGGCCCAGGTGGCTCCGACGTTGGAGGACGAGGACCAGCTGGCGGCTGAAGCGCGGCAGCAACTTGCCGTGCTGAGGCGACGCTATCCATGGCAGTTGCAGCGGTGGCGGTGCCCGTAGGTGCGCCCCACCAGCCCATCGGCAGCAACGGACTGCAGGAAGGTGATTTCCTCGTGCTGCTCTGCAACGTCGGAGGTGGCCGCATCTGGCACGAGAGGATTGTGATCTACATGCCTGCAGGTGGCGTTTCGCTGGTGACGACGCTGACTCCAGACGATGACCCGTGCGAGGAGGACTTGGCCCCTGGCGCTGACGTTCTGCGGTGGGGCCGCCTCCTGGGCGGGGCGATCGGCGGGGCTGCGGGGTTCGCTGCCAGCGACCGCGTATACTGTACCGCTTTCAGCACCCTCCGCTGCCCGTTGCCGCTGGGGCCCTGCGGGATGCCGCGGCTGCCAGGCTGGGTTTTCCCGCCCCAGGCGCCCCGCTGGCCAGGAAAGTTCTGGCTCGGTTCGATTCGGTTAGGTTCCGAAGCGCCTCCGGTTCGGTTCGGTTCGGTTCGGTGTCGTAATCTTCTGGTTCGGTTCGGTTCGGTTCGGTACGTTTATTGTTTGTTTCCGGTTCGGACCGGTTCCTGTTCCGGTTCGGTCCGGTTCCAGCCAGATCGCCGTCGAGGAGCGTTTCCGACCCCAGGCGATCCGATTTCGTTGCGCTCCTTTCGATGCCCATGGTTCGGAGGAGGAGGAGGAGGAAGAGGAGGAGGAGAAAGGGACCCCAAACCCGCATAGGGGCCCCAAAGGGGCCCCAAACCTCCAAAGGTGCCCCAAAGGGGCCCCAAAGGGGCCCCAAACCTCCAAAGAGGCCCCAAAGAAGCTCCAAAGGTGCCCCAAGGAGCCCCAAAGGGGCCCCAAACCCCTAAAGGGGCCCCAAAGGGGCCCCACACCCGCAAAGGCTCTTCAAAGAGGCCCCAAACCCCCAAAGGGGAGGCCCCAAACCTGCATAGGGACCCCAAAGGGGCTCCAAACCCGCATAGGGGCACCAAAGGGCCCCCAAAGGTGCTCCAAAGGGGCCCCAAAGGGATTCAAAAGGTGCCCCAAAGGGGCCCCAAAGGGGCCCCAAACCTCCAAAGAGGCCCCAAAGAGGCTCCAAAGGTGCCCCAAAGGGGCCCCAAATACCCAAAGGGGCCCCAAAGGGGCCCCACACCCGCAAAGGCTCTTCAAAGAGGCCCCAAACCCCCAAAGGGGCCCCAAAGGAGCCCCAAAGGGGCCCCAAACCTGCATAGGGACCCCAAAGGGGCCCCAAAGGGGCTCCAAACCCGCATAGGGGCACCAAAGGGCCCCCAAAGGTGCTCCAAAGGGGCCCCAAAGGGATTCAAAAGGGGCCGCAAAGGGGGCCCAAATACCCAAAGGGGCCCCAAAGGGGCATCAAAGGGGCCCCAAACCCGCATAGGGGCCCCAAAGGGGCTCCAAAGGGGCCCCAAAGGGGCCCCAAACCCCAAAGGAAAAGGGGGTTTGTCGAGGTGGCTGCAGCAGACTGCTGGTGGGTCGGTTCCCGCGGGAACCCAGGTGCCCCTGCGGCGGCCCCCTGCCCTCGAGCGGGGGGCGAACCGAACCGGAACCTAACCGAACCGAGCCGAACCGGAACCGAGGCGCCTGGATCGGGGGGTTGTCGTCATCGTCGTCGTCGCCGCCGGTCATCCTCCCTCTTCCTCCCTCCGTGGCCAGTTTTCCGGTTCGCTCCGGTTCGGTCCGGTTCGGGCCGGTTCGGCGGGGGGAGGTTCGGCCCGGTTCGGAGTCCCGGTTCGGTTCGGTTCGGTTCGGTGTCGTAATTTTCTTGTTCGGTTCGGTTCCCATTGACAAAAAACACCAGTTCGCGCCAGTTCGGTTCGGCCCGGTTCGGTTCGGCCGGTTCGGTTCGGTTCCGGAACCATCCTGGCTGGCGCCCAACCTGGGCCCGCTGGGCGGCGCTGCAACAGGTGCACCCCCCGCGGCGGGAGGTGCGGGCCCCAGCGGCGCTGCGCCCGCGGGGGCCGGGTTCGCTGGCTTGGTGGCGGCGCTGGGTGGCCCTGGCGCTGGCCCCGCCGCCGCGGCAAGCGCCCTGGCGCCTGGAGGCGGCGCGCTCGGCGCGCCCGCCGCAGCCCCTCCTGCTGGCGCAGCGGCTGCCGGCGCCTTGGCGCCGCCCGCCCCCGCGCCAGCTGTGGCAGCGGCGGCCCCGCCAGCAGCGGCTCCTCGCGCGGATCCTCGGCATCACCACGGACGCCCTTGGCCAGCGGTGCAAGGATCTCAGAGACGCGGTGAACGGCATGACACAGAACACGCACCCAGATTGGCCGATCAGAGGCCCGAAGATAGCATGGTGGGCGTGCCGCTTCATGCTCGCCAACGGGGCTCCCCCTTGGCGTGGCACAGTCGATGGCGCACCGACTGTCGGCTAGGTGCAGGCGACCAGAGAGTTGCAGAACGCGAACAAGCATGTCGCCTGATCGAGACCTTGGCCTGCTACGACCAGGTCAACGTGCCAAATGTTGATGCCGCCGAACTGACTTCCCGCAGTTTGCAGCTCACTGAGAAGAAGTGCCGGGATCGCCTCGCAGGTAGCAGCAACAGCGAGGCCGGCGACGGCCACTTCTACTACGGCACCGACATGGTGCGTGGGAGCTGCTGTGCATGCCCACGGTTGCAAGAGTGGACCAGCTCCGAGTTGGGATGGGGATACGCGGTGATGAACGAGCGCCGGGGGGCCAGGGAAGAACGGCAATTTGCTCGGCCAAAGGGCAAGCCTATGAAGCCGAACGACTCCCGTGGCTCTGGCGCCGGCATTGGTTAGCACCAACCTCGGCGGCTCTGGGGGCGCCGCCTCGGCCGAGAAGACCCCCCGTGAGTCCTGGCGGCAGCGTGACATCTCCCCGCTTCTTCCTGTCTTGCGGCGGCCCCGAACCGTGCCGATTGGACGGGAGGTCCGCAGCGCGTTTCGCCGCCAGCACATAGCCGCGGCTGCTCTGGACTGGGCTGATGATGATATCCAGAGTCTGAATGATCTTTACGGTTGTTCGACGATTTTGCCGGGCCCGCCCGGGGCCTTTGTCGATGGCTCGCTCGATTTCAGCCAGCCTGGCTTCTCCCCTTCTTCGCCCCCTTGTGCTCCTGCCAACGCTAGCCAGGCCCAGGTTCGCGACCATGTCGCCCGCAGATGCGCCAGGTCGGGCCCCCTCCAGGTGATCTTTCTGCTGGCAAGGGAGCCCTCTGAGCGCTTCTTGCCGGGTCATCGGTCTACTCCTCTGACCTTAGCCCGCGCCGCCCGTTTGTCAAGAATCTTGCGTCCTGGCCAGAGCTGGGAGCCAATCCCACCCCTTTGGCAAAGGCTCTCGGCCCTGCCGATCGTCAGTGGCTCGGCGGCTGGTGCGAACATGTGCTGAGAAGTGAGGAGGGGGCCGTCACCTTGCAGCGAGAGGCCTGCCCGCACGGCGCGTTTGTCGATGGCGCTTCGGAGCAGCGGCCCTCCGCCTGCGCAGACTTTCTTCCGCGCCTCTTTCAGCGTGGAATGCCTGGGTGGGAGGTGGCAGCCGGGCGCGAGGGGAAACGGGGATATTTTTTGAGCCAATAAAAAAACGGTCGACTGCGGATCATGCTTGACACGAGGTTTGTCAACGCGTACTTCAAGTACCTCCGAGCACCCGGCTGCCAACCTCGCGCGCGTTCTCAGCGTTGGAGACTTCAGAGAGGCCCGTGCATGATGCGCCTGGCGATCTTGACCGTGCTTTTTACCGACTGTGGTTGCCGCCGGGCATGGGGCAGTACTTCTCGCTCCTGGTGATCGACGCCGCGCTCGTGCAAATTGTCTCCCTGGACGGGTCCGTCGCCCCCCTGGGCGCGCCGCTCCTGCCGTGCCTGACAGTTCCCCCGATGGGTTGGTCATGGGCCATGCACTTGCGCCAAGGGGTTGTGAGAAACAGCATTTGTGAAGCTGGGCCCTCTGGTGATTTTGCGATCGAGGGCGGCCGAGCTGGCGCGCGCCTCCTGGGCCCGCAGCAGGTTGGCAGCGCCGCGCATGTTGACGATGTCTTTACAGTCGACCATGACCGTGATCAAACTATTGCCTCTATGCAATATATTACTACCGCTCTTAGGGACAAGGGGCTCGCGGCCCATGAGCGTGGGGGGGGGGGGGGCACTGACTTCGCATTCTCGTGCATGGAACTGCCCGAGGGTGCGC